TATATATATATATTAATAGGCATCAAAATAAATCATTTTCGAAAAGAGCATGTAACTTAGCTTAAATTAGTAATATTTCAAAGTTGATAATTAAATATTAAATTATTTTTTTTGACCAGGCATTATTATAATTGTGTTTCAAAATAAGTTTTAATCAAACGACTTGGTTATTTAAAAATCTTTTTAAGTTTAACAAACTAACCTATTTAAATAAAGATAAATATTTGTTATTATTATCGTTGTTATTATTAGTATTACATCTTTGTTAATGTAACCTGTACTGACTGCATTTCGCACTCGGGCTCTCAGCCCGAGTTAACATTATAAGGGTCATCTTGCAGGTAACACCTTTGTAGATAATATTTTTTTGTGAATTTTAAAATTCGCAGGAAATTTTCCTGCGAAATTTCTTGCGAAAGAATTCGCAGGAAAGTTTCCTGCAAAAAAAAATTTGCAGGAAAGTTTCCTGCAAAAAAAATTCGCAGGAAAGTTTCCTGTGAATTTTTTCGCAAGAAATTTTGCAGGAATATTTTTTACAAAAAAAATAAAGAAATTACTATAAATTCTACTAATAATTTTTCAACTTTTAAATGTTCACAATAAATTCATCCGAAGCATTTGTTTCCATGCCTCCAACATGTGATACATAATCTTTTAAATTCTAAGATGGTAGATTATTATCTTTAAAAAACGTGTTTGATTATATTTTAATATTCTTTGAAATATTTTTTAAAATATAAAAGAATTTTTTAAGAAATAATTAAAAAAGTTACAAGTGTATTAGAATATAATTTCTATTATTTTGATGAAAACATTTCTCACACCTTAACATCGGAATAAAAAGATAAGAAATATGGGAGGAAATCATTTCAAAAAATAAATACTTGAGAATAATTTTTTAAAATTCATAATAAACATGAGAATATTACATTTGTATGCTCACATTCCCAAGAACCAATATTAAATCCTTAAACAAACACCACTAAATAACAATGATGTCTTATTCTATTATTGCCTCAACTAACATTAAAATGAACTATAATATTTTTAAGCATTGACATGGATAAAATAAAGCTACATGGACTATTTAAACCAATTTTGTAGCCAGTTTTACTTGTATATATACAAACACAGTAGTTATTTATTTACTAATTTTTTGAATCAGAGACATACGTATATTACTCAAACAATACTGGTTTAGAGATAGATGATTTAGTCAAAAGTTTTCAGAACTATCAAGCAATAAGAAAGATTTTGACCATAAGCATTTTGTTGAGCACAAGGGGGTTATACCTGGAGACAACTGTGTGTATATAAACAGTTTATTCTAGGACTTTGCTTGCATCCCAAACAACCCTCTATCATGACCTCTTTTACACTACTAGAATTTCTCTTATTACATGCGACTTTTTCTGTAAATTTTTCATAAAAATTCGCAGCAAATGTCGTTCCTGCAAATTTTCCTGCGAAATTTTATCTGCAGGTAACACCTTTGTAGATAATATTTTTTTGTGAATTTTAAAATTCGCAGGAAATTTTCCTGCGAAATTTCTTGCGAAAGAATTCGCAGGAAAGTTTCCTGCAAAAAAAAATTTGCAGGAAAGTTTCCTGCAAAAAAAATTCGCAGGAAAGTTTCCTGTGAATTTTTTCGCAAGAAATTTTGCAGGAATATTTTTTACAAAAAAAATAAAGAAATTACTATAAATTCTACTAATAATTTTTCAACTTTTAAATGTTCACAATAAATTCATCCGAAGCATTTGTTTCCATGCCTCCAACATGTGATACATAATCTTTTAAATTCTAAGATGGTAGATTATAAGCCTAACACTCAATCATATAAATCAACTTGTAAGGTAAGTGTTGCCCCAACTTATATACTCTTTAATTGAAGTTTTTTTAAAATATTAAAATTATAAATTTAAATATATATTTTTTTTATTTTTCCTTCAGATTAAAATTTGCAAGAAAATTCGCAGAAAAAGTTACTTACAAATTTTTTCTACCATTTAGTAAACATTACTTGCGAATTTATTTTTGCAAGAAAATCTACAAGAAACAAAATAAAATTCTTACAATATTTTTTGCAAATTTTTACCATGGAAAAAAAATTTCTATGATTATTAAAATTGTAATAAAATTTGTAAGAAATATCTGTAAGTTATTTTTCGCAAATAAATTCGCAAAAAATTTGGCTGTCGGTGAGATCCATAGCGTCCACAACCCGGGAGGTCACCTCCTCGATATCGTGAGAAGCGGAGGTCCCCCCGACCTCCTCCTTCCCCCTCTTCCTCTTCCGGTGGGTCTTTAGGGAGACAGCATCCTCCTCCGGAGGCTCGGGAACCTCGAGCTCGGAAACATTGTAGCGATGTTTAAGTTGACGCCACAAGTTTCTAGATCCCAATAGATATTGTTCGCTTTGGACCCAAGCTCTCACGGATTTGCTTTTGAACATCATCCAAAAGGTCTCCCTACCAAGAAAGACAACTGTTTGTATATAAACCCATATTTATCTTTTTGTTTGAACGATGTGGGACTTTACTTGCATCCAAACACATTTCTCCTACAAAAAGAAATTTAATCATAAATTACGTTTTGTCTATTTATCTAACCATATACATCCCACTTTACTAAATTTTTTTCATTTTAATAATCTAAAGGCAGTTTACAAACCATGTGTTAAAACTGAGATGTTATGTGTTGTGGTGCCTGATTATGTTTAATTTGCATCAGGACAAGTTGGTGAGTCGGTGCTGTAAACATCATTCTTCTCTGTGTTTTGATACTCCTTAGAAAACATTTGAGGTCAAAGTTAAAAATTTAGGGAGGAGCAACAAAATTTGACTCTGATGATCCCTGGACCACCACTCTTTTTACAGATCCTAAGAAAAACTAGAGGATGCAAATTCATAGAGAAATTAAACATGGATAAAAGAAAACTATTACATTGTCTCAGAAAATGAAATACACCCTTTATCAGAAAATTTCATATATTGATTCTTATACATGACTTTGCTAAAAAAACACAACCACTTAATTAATCTACCACTTTCATGCTTCAATCATCCTCAGGAGGCATTTCATTAAGATCAAAGTTTAGACTTTTTGGAGGGGCAATTGAATTGTGTTCTTCAGAGTCACCACCACCACTCTCCCCTCCACCTTCAACAACTTCATTAGATTCCTTTGCCTCCATTATTTCTTCTACACCACCAGAACCTTCATTGTTACCATCCATGGCAGCATCTTCTTTTTCTTGCTCTTCCTTTTCACCAACTTCAACACAATCTTCAGCACCTCCTTCAAGCACCTCAGCAACAGCTTCATCAACCAGTTGATCAATTTCTATGGAAGCATCACCTTCACCCACTTTCTCTCCTC